CAATTTCTTGTTTCGCGATGTGTCAAGTTAATCCCAGTACTGAAGATAAAATGGGTAGACATAAAAAGAGCATCGGCCCAATCTCGTTGACGTCTCCACCAATTAAATCCCTCAAAGTCAAGCAGAGTGAAAGAGAGGTAGAAAGAGAAGGTCACTTGTTGAGGGAAGGATTATAGGCAACTAAAGTTAGGAATGTAGGTTAAAGTGACTAGTATTTTGATGGTGAGAACTTCTCTGCCATTTCTGAGTCGACGAAGGATTTTCGTAAGTTGATAATAAGGTCAGCTACCTGATTTTCCCTTTCATGTGTTACTGATTTAGGGTTGTTTTATTGTTTTTAAGAGTGCAGTTGGATTCTGCTTCTTCGTGGGTCGCCCTTTATGGTTGAGGTTCAAGAAGGAGAAGAGAATAGTATTACTAAGTGCTTGTTTGGTAGGGATTTGGGGGTGGGGGGTGGGGGGAATTGATTTTTGAATAGTGATATGATGGGAAATGTGTTGTTGAAAAAGAAGAAAAAATTATGGATGTGATGGAAAATATTATTTTATTGAAAAATGTGGTTGAAAATGAGAATTGATTTGACAATCAATTCTCAAATAAAAAACAAACACCCCCTAAATTTGTTAATATCCTGACGAGGTTTAAATATCAATGTTTTAAAAATCGATTCAACCATCAACCTGAAAAAGCGAAAGGGTCAGGGTCAAAATGTTGAACCGATATCAAACCGATAATTTTTAAAAAATTTAAAAATATACACTTACAAAAATTTAAAATACATTTAAAAATGTAAAAAATATACGTTTAATTTTTTTTAAAAAAAATATGCATTTATATTTGTTGAACCGTTTAAACAGGGAACTAGTCATGAATTTTCAAAAAAATCAACAGGTTTAATAGATTTTGGGACGAGTTTGTAATTAGAGGGTTTATAAACCTAATCGAACCTATTTTGGTCCCGATTCCTGATTGAATTGATCGGACCAATTCGATTTTTAAAACACTAGTAAATATAGATTCATATTTTGATACAGAACGATAATTAAACAGTAACATCAATAATATGAGAGGATTAATAAGGATAATTGCTCAAGTAATGAGTGGTTTTTGGAGATACAAGTGGCATGGTGATGCTACTAGCCTACATCAAAATGAAAATACATTTTGAGCCATATTTTTAAAAAAATTTTGGAGGGCTTGGGTGGGTGGGTTAAAGAGAAAAAGTTGAAAATACATAAAGATGGCACAAATTATATGAAGTTTGTCTGATATCTGAAGATGGCAACATTGGTCGGCTAAGCGCAAAGACAGGAACTAACAACGGACAACATGAAACCTTATCCCCCACAAATTCTGCCCTCCATTATGGCCAACTTATACGCAGATAACATCGCCATCAATTCTCAACGGAATCAAATGTCCATCAAACCATATCATTTGTAGGCCCTTCTTGTCCCAATTCAAATGACACGTCTCAATTTTTCCCATTAATATCTACTATTTCTCTCGTTAATTATGCAACTTCTTGCATCAATTATATTGATTGATTAATTTTCGGCTCTAGAAGGTTCATAATAAGATATTTATCAGTTTATAACAAAAAAGCAGATAATAATTAAAGTTAGCAAACGTGCCTCATCAACTTTTCAATCTACTTTGTAGACATCAAGCCTAAACTATAGGGTGTTCATTTTTCAAAATCATTTAATGCAACCTCAACTTAAGATTGCACATATAACATCTATGAGACGACACATTGGCCGTTGAGATAAGTTCATCCAATGATAACTAACTCTCTACTTCTACTATAAAAGCTCATGTTTGGTGTCATTCACAGGTAATGCTAATTTACACTTTCAATAGTAACTTAGCTTGGTATTTTATTAACACTCAGTTATAATATGCATTCTTTTGGCTCTCGTCACTGCCCATCCCACCTTCAAAAATATAAGTTGATTGACTTGACCATCAAAGTCGGCCCTACACCCAAGCCTATGGGCTCTAATCCTAAGGGGCCTCAAAATAGAAGAAATTACGTTGCCAATCTAAAAGATGAATTAATAAAAAATTCAATCAACTATAATTTTTTTTATCAATTCTAACTTAATTCGAGTTTACTCAAAATAATTTTTTTTCGAGTTTAATGTACATAATTAATTAGGAGCTACAAAATGAGCCCAATATTATCATGATTTACATATTGATAACGTGAAAGAGATATAAAGAGGAAAAAATAGATAAAAGGAAATAAAATAAGTCAATTAATCTTATCCACATCATGAATCCGTAAACGGATTTGTACACATACGAATAGTATTGCCCCAGAATAATAGTATCATTTTCATTTTCCGTACAGTGACATACCGCCGACACTCAATTTCTCTTTTCGACACACAGAATTGCCTATAATGATGCTAAGAGGACCACCTGGATAGGGTTGCCGACTTTTGTGCACACGGGCTATAAAGGACTTTGGACTACCTGAGGACACCCACTTGCTATTTTCTTGATTGGAAGAGATTTTGGAGATTCATTAATTAATTGGATTAGAGGATAATCAGTATCATGGATTCGTAATTATTCCTAATCACCCGGTAATGTGCTAGTTGGGACGGATTCCATCTTATTTATTTTTCAATAAATATATTTAGATCTTAAATGTGTTTGAAAAAAGTTGGATGCAAAGTCAATGCTAATCTGTTTGCTTTTGATAGAAGACAAAGGTTTTGGACCTTTGGTACTTGGATGACACATTTTTTAAAGAATTTAACTTTATTTTGAACTCGTTATTCCCTTACGAATATAATATTTGACGAAATTAAAGAACGATAGAATATAATTTATAAAATTTGATACAATCTTTTTTTAAAAGAGATGACGAGTAAATATGTGCTTATTTCCATATAATATTAAAGAATTAGGCCTTGTATGAGAGAGATTAAAATCGGATTAAAATTAAAAATATAGTCATTATTGTTGACTTTTATTAGACGAGTGAGACCCAATAACGGCCATATTTTCAATTTTAATTGACTTTTAATCCCTCCCAAACAGGGCCTTAGTTTAAATGTATTGAATAGGGGGTACTGAACGGTATCCCCCTCTCACAATGCGCGCGGGCCCTATGTATATTTAAAAATTCCAGCTTGTGGTCCCCACTTCCTAATGTGAGTGAGGTGTAAAATATTTGGTATAAAAATTCGGTATATGTAGTATAACCCAATATTAAAATAAGGTGCAAATTATGACAGACTTCTATACCATTGAAAGAATTATTTACGAAATTGGATTTATGGCCCATTTGACAGAATTTTGAAAAGTCAAAAGCTATTTGTTAGATTAAATGTCAATTGACATGATTTTTGAGAAGTTAAAAGGAGTTTTTGAGATTCAAAAGTTACTTTTGCATACAATTAATTAATTTTATGAAAGTACTTCTTTTAATTAGAATTGACTTCATCTAAAAACACTTTCGAGTCTTGTCGAACGAGCCCTAAGAAGTATAATACACGATTGTATAGTTTTTTATAAGTACTTTGTTTAGTTAGAAGAGTTTTTAGAAAAATATGATCCAAGATAACTTTCTAAGAAAATCTGATAAAAAAATAAAAATAAAAGTCCTACAAAACTGACCCTTCTACGCTAGTAACTAGGTTCATTCGTGTTTGCTAACATTTAACGTTCATAATGTTATCAAATCCTCAAGTAGTTATGACATTTTTTTTCTATATCAATTTAGATGGGAGTTCCATAAAAAAATGAGAAAGTGCATATTGCTTGCATTGAATTAATCATGCATCTTTGGTGACCTAACTTCTCATCAGCAAAACCCGACAATCATTATTGAATGTTTTCATACCTACGGATTTGTAGGTCCCAAACACGCCCATATCAACTTTCTAGTTAAGCAAAGATACTAATATTCTTTTTCATGAATCATATTCTATCGCCATTAAAAATTCCATCAAACTCGCCCCCCCCCCCCCCCCCCAATATAGTGTCTTTTGCCAACTTTTCCTTTTCCCTTTAATCTCTTTCCCACACAACAAACAAGAAAACAATATCCCTATCCCATGTTACCAACATTTTTCAGTGGACAATTACGTTCTGTCCTCCAATTCCATTCTTTGGGGGGCGGGGGGGAAATTAGATCAAACATGGTGTACTATGAGATAGGAGATATGAACTCGTACATAAATAAAATAACACTGAGAGCGTGTTTGATTGATATGAAAAATATCTCCTAAAAAAGAAAATGTTTTTCTTATTTTAGGGGAAACAAAAACCTACTCACTCAAAGAAAATGTTTTTTCCTTCAAAACAGGGGAAATTAAGTATATTTTCAAAAATTGGAAAATATTTTCATTGGGAAAAAATAGCAATCTGATAGAAATTTGGGTGAAAAAATGATATTTTTCATGAAAAATAAATGCAATCAAATACACCCTAATACGTGGTTATTGGGCTAATCATTGGTGCAAATGGGTACATGAATACGTAGGTGAAAACCCAAAAGAATCATATGAGAAAGATAAAAAGTTAGTGCTGATAAGAAACAGTGAAAGTTGGTATGATAATGGGAGACGAGAGAGATGGCAGACGAATCATTCTCTTCATGTGTGTCTCCCATTGCCATGTGAATCCACGTATTCTTGCTTTACACTGATACATTCCAAAGAAACGTGGGTTGTGGGGTGGTGTGGTGTGGTTAAAGATAAAATTAGTGGGGTTCAAATGGTCAACCCTTGTGTGTTGTGTGTGTGAAAGAAAAAGAGAAAAGACAAGACTTTTCATTGTTTTAACTACTTATTATTCATTCATTTGATTGTCAATCGGTCCAAGGTAGCCTCCCAACCACCGTCCCTCTACAAAACTCTCCTGTTTTTCTTCATTTTCACACAAAAACAGAAATCAAAACTCGCTCTCTACATATACCTTTAAATATACGAAGCCTCTGTTTGTGCCAAAAGCTTCAAGTTTTTTAAATCGGTTTTACGTAAATGGGTGTTGATGATTTATGCAACACAAGCCTGGTTTTAGGCTTGAGTAATTTTTCATCTACTGTTGAACGAACGTCGTCAAAAAAATTATCATCCCAAAAGTTTGATGGAAAAAATTCTGAGCCTTCATTGACTTTGAGGCTTTCTGGTGAAACCTATGATCAGATTCAGATGGTGAAGAAGGTGTATTCTGATATCAAGGTTTCTCATGATCCGTCTGCTGATTTGTATAGACAAGATAGTGCTGCTTCATCTTTTTCTAATAGTAGTGTGAAGAGGGAGAGAGAGATTGGGAGTGAAGAGATCGAAATAGAAAAAGTTGTATCAAGAGTTAGTGATGAAGATGAAGATGGTTCTAACGGAAGGAAGAAACTTAGGCTCACTAAAGCCCAGTCTGCCCTTTTGGAAGAAAGCTTTAAGCAACACAGTACTCTCAATCCTGTAATCTCTCTCTCTACGTACACGCAAATATATATAGTTGTGTATATCATATGTAATTGCCTGATTATAATCTTTGGGTTTCTCAGAAGCAAAAGCAAGACTTGGCAAGAGACCTGAAGCTTAGGCCTCGACAAGTTGAGGTTTGGTTTCAGAACAGGAGAGCAAGGTATGATATTCAACCCATGGAAAACATTCAAAAATTCCCCCTTTTCAATAATATGTTTGAATATCATGAGAAAAATAGAACAGATTCCATCTTTAAGAAACCAAGAAATTAGAATAAAGAAAATCGAATATTGACTTTCATTATGTACCAAGTTATTTTTTATTTTTTTCCAGGGTGCTTTAAACCATTTCTTAAAATAATTGCAATTAATCTGAGTAATCCACTATCCTTTATTATACAGGACAAAGCTGAAGCAAACGGAAGTGGACTGTGAATTCTTGAAGAAATGCTGTGAAACACTAACAGAAGAAAACAGGAGGCTACAGAAAGAGTTACAAGAACTCAAGGCACTAAAACTATCCCAACCCCTGTACATGCAGCTGCCGGCGGCCACCCTTACCATGTGTCCTTCCTGTGAGAGGATTGGCGGCGCCGCCGTGGGTGAAAATAAGTCCAACAGCCCTTTCACAATTGCCCCAAAGCCTCACTTTTATAATCCTTGCACCAATCAATCAGCTGCTTGTTAAGTTTAGCGTTTACTGGGCAGATTAAAATCCCCAACCACCCTTTTTTTTAATTTGGTCAAGGGCACACTAATTATAAAAATTTCTGAATGTGTTTTTACTTTTTTTGTGATCTTTATAGTAAATTATTAAGTTTGGGGGTATATATATAAATTAGTTCTAATGTATATATGGCTTTTTAATTTGCTTTGATATTCTTTGAATTCTTGTTCGACTTCCACTTTAATTATCAGTTGTGAAAGCGTTGGCTCACATCTATTTGTCTGTGATTCTGTTAGATTTTCGATTTTGTTCTTGAGAGGGAAAGTATTAATCGTAGCGTGTGGATAAAGCTCCTCTTTGGTTCAGGTAAAAGAGTTGATACAAATTAAAATTAAAATTAACAATTAACAATTAACGACACGTTTATCGAATTCACAACTTTTATCTATTTTATTAATAAAAATTAATTTTTATATGAAATAAACAAGGTCTAAGTATGCATTTTCATTTTGCTTAAATATTTTTAGCCCAGGTTTTGATTTGGATTAAAATTTGATTAAATCCGTCCGCTATTAATTTTAACTACATATTTAATACAATTCATAATTTTTTAATCACATATTTCATCAATTTTTATAAAAATCTATTAAAAATTTAAATTTAATCTACATTAAATATGAAATTAGTATAACATTATAAGACCTTGTTCGATCCCAATTCTTCATTTTTAACTACATATTCTTCATCAATATATTATTCTAAAATGCATTTTACACGAAAACAAATAGGGTTCAAACATATACTAAATCTTAGTTATCATATTACACAACATGTTATAAACAAGTTTTTATTGTCCTATTCCTTAATTACTATTTTGTGTGAGATCAACTGCTAATGTCAAGTCAAAATGTTTAGGCATGAAAAAAAGCACTAATGATACAATTGCTTAATAGACACGTTATCATGATTGGTCACAGACCTTTCCAACCCCGAATCATTAGAAGGATCTATCATGGTCCAATATATGGTCCACTTACCGCCCTTTATTTTTCCTTTTCTTACTTGCCTGGAAACTACACCTTTTTTATGGTCTAATTATTTGTTGGGTTGTGCTACTTGTACATTATTGCATTCATAATAGATGACATAATGTACATGTGACAGTACATTATTGAAGGGTGTGCTGTCCAATAATGTACTGCCACTTGTACATTACGTCATCCATTATGGATGGCATAATGTACAAGTAAAATTATCTTTATTTGTTTGCCCCATTAAGCCCCCTGTTTGGCCCTCATTATTTGACATTTTTTAGGATTGAAAATTTTTAGAATAGTGATTAATGAGAAAATGTGTGATGAAAAAGTAATGAAAAGTTTTAGATTTGTTTGTAATATTATTATTGTATTTGATGAACGTGTGGATATAATGAAAAGAGAGAAAAATTTAATGTAATGTAATTTAATTTAATAGGGGCCAAATAGGGGCTAAATTTTTTTCTCTCTTTATTTCAATCATACATTTATCAAATAAAATAATATTAAACACAAATCAAAAAAAATTCAACCACACATTCTTTCATCAATTACTATTCTAAAAATTTTCAACCCAAAAAAATGCAAAATAATGGGGGCCAAACAGGGACTATTAGAAAAATGATGAAAGTACAAGGAAATTTAAACAAAAATTGAACAAAATTTTGGATTCTCAGTCACATGGTGCGGGCCACATGTATTAAATATTGGAAAAAAAAATGTCGCTCCCGTCTTTGATCGTGTCTGTTCTGTAGGTACATGAATTTTGAATTCCTGTACCTATAGCATGATTGTTATAATTATATTATCACCGTCACGTCATGGTTAAAATTATAATATTTTAGATGCCCATATTGAATGCCCTTTAAACGATCTCTTTCCATTTTTAAATTATTCAAAATATAGTCAATTCAAACATGGTTAGATGCGTTCTTAGGTTCTAAGATTTAAATATTTCTTCGCTTGTTTTTCTTATAAAATAAATAATTAAAGAATAAGAACGATTATTTTGTATAGACCATTCCATAACCATGCATCTTTGGAGATGATTTGTGTGTGAGGTCACGATTTTGTGGTGTACCTAAAAAGGAACATACAGAGCCGACTTGGCCCTGCACGTGCAGCACGATCTACCTAGAAATGAGAGAAAAAATGTCTAAGACGCTGGGTGGTTTATGCCATTCTACTCATGCCCATTCTAGTAAATAAAAAATATTTAAAAAATGGAGTGTCACTATTTATTAAAAGAGGCCAAGTAAATCGTGCACACGTGTAACAATTTTCTGTCGTAGTTAAAAATCCCCTTTTTTACTTACAAAAAAAAGAAAAAGGAAAATCATCAAACTCCTTCTCCTTTATTTTACGTAACATCCACTGCTCGTCACCCCCACTCCTCATACTCTCCTTCCTTTCCTCCATTTTCTCTCACCTTCCTTTCTTCCACGACTTTTTCAATTGTGGTTGATATGATCAGATTTTAAAAGGATTCCACCGCTGGAATACAGGTTTGGATTATGGCTCTTCATTTATATTGATTCTTCAATGTTGAAGGACTTGGTGGTTGGAATATAGGTTTGGATTATGGCCATTTTGTTCTTCAATCCTTTGTTAAGCATTTGGTGGTTGGAATACAGTTTTTGTTTATAACTATTCATTGATTATTCAACCCTTTTGATTGTTGTTAAATCCTATGTTCTAACCAAGCATTTCATTTGACTAAATCGGGTCAGTATGTTTTTTCGTGTGTCCCCGTGTACTCCTTGTGTGTGCCTCCGTGAGGGACACATCCTGCGCCGTGTGCCTCCGTTCGCGCATGGAGGCACGTAGCGTGCACCTCAACACACGCACGCACGGAGGCACTCCAGTGTGCCTCCGCGCCCCTGCTACCAAACAGGCGTATTAATATCATAAAGTAGCCTTGATTTCATAGAAACCGCATGTATAAAATGGAAGCATTTCCCTACTATATAAATGTATATTTTTTATAAAATACAGTAAAATATTAGGGTATGATAGGGTGGGCTGCCAGGCTGGGGAGTGGGGTGAAGAGTAGTTATTTACCTGGTATGGTGCAAAAGGATTAAGAATAGGCATACTGAGAAATTAATGGAAGCTACGGAAAAATGATTTGGACGGAGGCATGACTTGGATGGAGGCATGCCGCCGTGCGATATTTTTTTTATTATTATATTTTTTTCTACTAATAATATTTTTTTAAACTATATAAATTTAACAGGATTTTAAAGTGCAAGGCACACTAAACAAGTAGAAAAATTCATTTACAAAGCTTCAATATCTTGTCAACCTAACATAGCTTTGTTCCTCTTTTCAAACTTGCATAGTTTTGTTTAATGTTATATTAATATATTATTTGTTTTTTTGTTAAAATTTCAGGTAAAAATTATCTATTTAGTTATAAATGCTGATATTGGAAGCAGTGAGTCAGAAAAGAAACGCCGTCGAGCAATTTATGCTTGATCAAAAGAATCTTCTAATGCAAGACGGAGAGAATTGTATGCTGAGGCGCAGGAATTGCGTAGTGTGCGTAGACAACAGCTGTATATTCAGAGGAAAAAAACCGCAGGAGAGGGTAGTTCAAATGCAGATGCAACATGTTAGTTTTTGTCATTTTATTATACTAATTGATTATATTACTTGGCTTCTATTTTCTTGTGTGTGCTTTGATTTTTTGTCATATCTAAATTATATTTTTTGGGTGATATGTTAGCTAGAAGTGTTAACTTCTACTTTCACTTAATTATATTAGTTGTTGTCATTCAATCTATTTAGAATTTTTTGCGTTGTCCAATGTTTTAGATGCTTTGTCAATGTGTTGATAATTCTTAATAAATAGGTGGTTTATGCTTTGGCTTTAGTGTGTTGCATTTTTGTCTTTTGTTGGAATTTATAATTTATAGTTTATTTGTTTTTTAAATAGGGTTTCCTGCTTTGCCGGAGTTGCAAATGTTAGAATATCCTTCCAATATTTTACAATATATTTCAACGAAATCTTACTTGTTACCTGCGCCAACAATTTGTCATTTTTGTGGAGCGAAAAGATTTCACAAAGAAAGTAAAGGTTTTTGCTATTGCGATGGGAGTATTAAATAAAAAATTAATGATATACCTCCAGAACTACGTCTTCTATTCATATCTAAATCTGACGAATCAGTTAACTTTAGAACTTATATTCGAACTTATAATTGTAATTTTTCTTTTACTGCCTTCGGTGTAAAATATAATAAAGACTTATGCCAGATAAATAAAGGAATATATACATTTAGAATTCAAGTACAGATATATCACTATCTAAATGAACTTCTTCCTATCGATACTAACACTTCTTATTTACAACTTTATTTTTATGATACTGAAAATGAAAATAGAACATCGTTTAAAAATGTCTGATAAACTTTCTCAATCAATTGTTGAAAAATTATTACGCATTTTAGAGATAAATCCATATGCAAATTTTTTTCGAGGTTTAGCTAATATTATCGATTTGGAAAGCCATGAGCTAAAAATTGCATGTAATTTAAGTATGGATCAAAGGGTTCATAATGCTCCCACAGTATCACAAGTTGCTGCAATTTGTGTAAATGATGAACAGTGTAATCTTGGCCTTCGTGATATATGTGTTTATGCTCATTCTGGTAGTAGATATAGAGTGTATTATTATTTTGGATGTTATGATCATCTCTAGTACCCTTTGTTATTTCCTAATGGAGAGAGTAGATGGTATTAATGTATTTAAAGAGTTAATAAATAATATAGAAATAGTGATATTACTTCTGTTGATACTATGCTCGATTCTTACTATGCTTGTTCTGTTGAAGAAATATTGAAGAATGAGACCACATGTATGAAAAATACATTGTTTCTTCATTTTAGTATCTTAATTTACTTTTTTTATTATTAACTTTTATTTTTTCCCTATATTTTCAGTTTTGCAAAAAAAAAAGCGAGCACAATTACAAGTGTCTTGCC